GGGGTACCTGGTTGACTCACCGAAGACCGTCGCGACCCAAGAAAAGGGGGGGAGCTAGTCCGGCACGGTGCAGGGGACGAGGGACCGCAAAACTTGAAGGGAGAAGAGTGGGCGGGTCCCCGTTTGCAACGGCGGCGAAAGCGAGCAGTCCGCTCCAGCCGGAAGTGGGGCAGCTCCAGTCCCGACAACGGTACCCAGAAGAGCGAGACACAGTTCATCAACGTCCAATTCACAAAAATTCTGGATATTCCAGACGAAGAATTCCGATATAATCAAAGATTTATCAGCCAAAATCATGTCGACGACATCTATGAAGCCATGGTCACATCAGGTGAAGCGGCCATTCGTGAAAGGACAACAGGAAGGACGGGGATGAGCACATATCCACTGTACGAGAAACTGATATTGTTGTTAGTGACATTGCATAACCAGCTGCATAGAGATTCAGCGGGAAGGGTTGCACGGGCAAGAAGGGTTGCTCCTAACGACTTCCACAACAAACTTGAACCACTGGATAAGTACTTCTGGTACCCTCTCAGTGGTCAACACAACGACGCAGCAGCGAGAAGATGCTTTCGCGAAAATCCGCTTGTGGCGAAAGAGTTGCGGCTCGATTCCTAGACAGCCAGGCCAGTATATTATCCGGACGAGTTTATGGATCACTACGAGACCTTAAGCACGTTCCAGAATGCAAAGGACAAGTGGAACACTCCACCTCACCAGAGCGTCGTAGTTCGGGATATCAGGAAGTTGTGGCAGGTGTCTGACTGTCCTGATGCGAAAGGTGGCCAGGGGGCTGATGTGAAAAATGCAGAGTATAGTAGAAAGTTCGCAGGGAAGGCACTTAGAGTGACCGGAATAGATCATTACATTACTATGTCGCTGGGTCAGTGGAGTTCGGAATGCTCCGACTTCCTTGGTTCTTAGATGATCTTAGCTAGGGCATCGCAAGACGTGTTTGAAAAGGTAGAGCAAGTGTATGTGGCTTGTGAAAGCGGTCAACTGTCGGGAAGAGACGTTGTGAAGCCTGTCACCAAGCAAGGCAAAGTGGGTAAAGCTTAAAAGTCAGGTGTTGGTTTCGAGGTGAAGGGTGCATCTAGAGTTCCAGTGTTTCCTAGTTCCGGTTCATGATCTCGATATCAGATCGTGGAACTTTCCACTCTGGGGAGGCGTGAGCGGCTGCAGAGCTTGCGGGATGTCGTAGGAGGTGGGGTTATCTTGACTCCGAAACAAAGCAAAGCTCCAAAAGACGTTGGGTTGCATTCAATGGAGACCTATATTAAAGTCGTAAAAACAGAGAGAGCGATGTTGCGAATGCTCCATTACTTCGTCTTCATTTCAGACCCAGCCAAGAAGTTGTCCGATTGGAAAGACCCTTTCTTCATGGATCTTGCTGATTTATTCAACAAGTATCGTGATCAGGGCCTTACCTACGAGAGAGGGGTTGATCAGAGGCCACATTTCAAGGATTTGCCTTGGATAAGATCGTTCCCGCCAACGATGGGAGGCGAAGATGAGAAAGGGGAACAAGGTTTTGAGAAGACCAAATCTCTCGCTGAAAGGTGTCCTCCTGAGTTCGAGCATTTTGTAGGGAAGTTGTTGCATAGGTCAACAACGTGAGGTGCGGAGGGCATTCTCTTGTCCTGAAAGGCGAAATATATACACTTCCAAAAACAGGACACGAAGTCTGTTTTTGTGTCTTTCCAGTCGGACCCTAGTGATGTCTCAAATGTCGTAGATTGTAATGAGGTTTATAGGGTCATCCAACATCTAACATGCCACACCACCGTGCTTGATTTGTGCCATCCAACTCAAATGGCGAAGTGGACAAAGCCGATTTTTTATGGGCTCTTGAGATTCATGAAAATGGTTGGAGGTGAGTACTGGATGTTGATATGCTTCGTTCCACGGTCCTGTGAGCTGACGTTTTTCCGGCGGGTGGTGCAGTGGGATATCCACATGTCAATTGCCAAGTGGACTCGGCAACAACAGCAGAAAGTTCGGCATGCCTATAAGGTTGCGAATTTGCTAATGGAGAATACAGACAGGATGGTGGCCATTATGTACTCCGAAGATGGGGATTACCATCGGAATACAATTCCTTTGTTCGAAGATATCCAACCGACGGGGACGTCTTCCAGTTCTTTAGCAACTGACATTTCAACACTTGCGAGGCGAGAGCGAAAACCGAAGTTGTTGACGGGCGTAGTAGAGAAGAACTTTCAGTCAATGAAGTGGAAAATGGCAGGCATGGAGACAAAAAAGGAAGTAGTATACGAAGGAATGGAGAGGGAGCCGAACTCAATGGTAGAGACGCTGGAGCGCTTTTGTCCAATAGATGAAGCTGTTCTGTTTCTGGGAAAGGGTCATGCGACTTTGGTGTGGGAGCTGTTGAAAAGTCATCGCCATTGCGTAGTCCTAGAAGGTGAGGACATGTAGTTCGACTTCCTTGTGCAATTCGTGAACAAGATGGTCGGCACTCGAGATTATGATGCGAAATTCATCAAGCCACCACATTGCCATGACGAAGTTCTCGATTTCGTGCACAAGGTGGGTCAAAATATGTCGAACATCTGACAGTTCCTTTTCGAGATGTGGCCAGAGAACAGGGAGACCGTGTGTATGTTACTCGCAGGCGGAAAGTTGAGACTCTACTACGAGGTTATCATAAAGCGTCTTCAGACATTGTCAAGGAGGTTGCATTCCTGAGCCGGTTGGAAATCTTGTATTTTGATCAAGGAATCGGTGCTTTCACGCTCGCTGCCTACATGACTTCCTTTCCATACGGGGAACAATTTGGCGCTGATGACTCAAAAGAGGAAAGTATCGATGGTACTTTGCAAGCGGCCTTGGCAAGTGAAAGGCAAAGGGCAAGTACCTCGTCTTATCAAAAGATGGCTATAGCCGGTGTCGGGGCAAAAATCCTGACAAGGGTATTTGCCGGTGTTTTTTGAATGTCGGACGTTGTCCGACTCTTGCGTTGAATTGAAGGACTTGATGTGACTGACATTGCCAAATGTTTATTCAAACCAGCGCTATGACTGAAAAACCTAAACCTTTTTAGAACCTGACGTCGTCAACGCAAGATGACATCGACGTCCGCGCGGGATAGCGGGAGTCAGCACTATCATCCGCGGGTTTGCAGTCATGGAAATGCTAAAATTAAACCTATTCTATCTATAATGGTGTCGCGCGG